TCTTTTATTTATTTTTAGATATTTACATATATCTGGTGGTATGGTGGATAAAGCATTTGGCTGCTAATCAGAAGGTCAGCAGTTCAAACCCACCAGCTGCTCTGTGGAAGGACGATGGGGCAATCTACTTCTGTAAAGATTTACAGCTTTGGAAACCCAGTGAGAGTCGTTATTAGTCAGAACCAACTAGATGGCAGTTGAGTTTCTTTTTCTTTTTTTTGGGGGGGGGAGGGGTGGGTAGGGTTTAAGTCTAATGTCTTCATGAATATTTTAAATTAGATCATTTCCTAGGAATCCTCTGTGGGACTCCCTGGCTATGGGCACAGTCACCTGCAAATAATGAATCCTTGCTAATTTTCCCCCTACTTGTGAAGCCAACTAGTTGAAAAAACGACTTTATCTTTGAGACCAGTTCAACTGGAGAGAAAGCCTCTTATCACTTCTAGGGATGAGACCTAGGGGCACCATAAGCAATAAATGAGCTCTGGTAATGTAGTGCCTGAGGTATTTGACTGCTAACCAGAAGGCTGGTGGTTCAAACCCACAAGCCACTCCTTGGAAGGAAGGTTGGGCAATCTACTTCCTTAGTGATACTGCCTCAGAAACCCAAGGTGGGGTCGCTATGAGTCGGGTCGACTCGATGGCACAAAACAGCAAAACAATGATGTAGTAATGTAACCTGGCCCAGGCTCCCACAGCTCTTGCAGTTATAACTTTTCACTGCAACTGAAATTTTCTTTGTTTTTCAGAAACCAGCAGTTACAAACAGGAGACAACAAGTATACACCTGTCCCTGCCAGATTTGGCCACGGAGCATGGGCAGAAGACTCCAGCCTTGTCCTGAGATGACCTTGACTTAGTGTCATATCCCCCAACCCTCCCCACCCACCGCGTGAAAACTCCTCACGACTCATGCTAAGGCCACCATTTTTAGAACATGTGATGTATGACTGCTGCTCACACTTGCACCACCCAAAACATCCCTATGCACTAGGTCTCCTAGAATTTCAATGAATATGTATAACTTCCCTATTCAAACCCTATAAAGCTGTAATTCACACTTACCTGAGGGAGACAGATCTGATGGAGATTCCTCCTGGCTCCTTTCCTAGTGCTACATAAATAGAGCTACTATTCTCAAAGGCTGGCATCCGGAGACTGGATTCTGTGCATGCTGGACAGTAAACCTCCTTGGGGTTTCCCATATTACAGTAATAGTGTCAGGACTTATCTAATGTCAACAGGGATAATGAGAATCAAGGTCAGCCCAAGCTGATCCCTATGAGGTGGAGGTCAGACATAGCTCTACTCTCCAACCTTTTAACCAATTCTGACACCAGTCATCCCTCCCAGGGCACTCTCTACTTCTATTCTAGGTTCGATAATCTGTTGCAATGGCCAGACAAAACTAACAGATCATACTTACTACAGTTAAATGATTTATTAAAGAAGTAACAGGGTACAAGTTGGGATCAGGATCAATAGACTACAACTCAGGAACAAGATCAGATCAGGAAGCATGTAGGCAAAGTCTGGAAGGTTCTCCTGAATTGGAGAGTCCATCCCTCCCTTCTTCAGTGCATGACAGCCCTCTTAGCTCCTCTTGGCTGTGCAAGCAAATAGGGCCTTCTCTCTAGTATGCATGACCCCTCCGCCATGCAGGCCTCTCTCAGCTCCCTGTGGACTGGCCTCCTTTCTTTCCCTTCAAGACAGGCCTGTCTGTCGTTGGCCTCTCCATTTCTAAATGATCCAGCTCATAGCCAATGTAGTAATTTCATTCAGTTCTCTTAGCTGTACTCCTAGCAGCAGGTTTCTGCCATCACCACCAGCTCTACTGCAGGGTCTCTTCTGAGCCTGTCACTGTCAGCTCTGCCACAGAGGCAGTCGATGTCTTCAGTATTACAGCACTTAACCCATGTTATGGCTCTTTTAGGGGTTTCTTACCTCCTCTCTCTCCTCCTTCTTGCTTCTCCTGCCTTTTCTCCTGTCTCTTTTCTTCCTTCTTCTGTTTGCCAACCCTCTGTGGGGTTGGCTGCATATATAAGCAAAGTCCTGGTCAACTTCAAGGCATGATCCTCTCAGCAAAAAACAAACTAACCAATCACCTTGGTGGGCCATAATCACTTCATTTGTATAGTCTACAGTATATTGGGCAAAAGTGCACAAAATACATCAATCACAGAATAGGCTGCAGCCAGGGCCAGACAAAAAGTACCAAACCATCAAGCTGTTTGCAGTTTATGCAGAAAATGTTAATCAACTCAGTCAAAAATATCAAAACCTTTGGGGTAGAAAAGGGAGCTCTGATGGTGCAATGCCTAAGGCATTTGACTGCTAACCAGAAGTCTGGCAGTTCAAACCCACCAGCCACTCCTCAAAAGGAAGATTGGGCAATCTACTTCCATAGTGATACTGCCTTGGAAATACAAGGAGGGGTCACTATGAGTCAGATTTGACTCAATGGCAGTGAGTTTGGTTTTTTTGGGGGGGTGGGGGTAGTGAGTTTGGTTTTATTTTGGTTTGGGGTAGAAAATTAAGGCAAAGGTAACTCCTCAGGGTTCAGGGGAAAATCTCTCAAGCTGTTTTTCCCAAGAACCAAAACAAAGGCCACAAACAGGAACTCATTTTACCACATCCTCTTTTATCATTTTCTAGGATATGTATCTTCAATATATTTTCACTACATAACAATGGACAACTAATACACTTGGCATTCATGTCAATCCTGGTCAGGATAAAACATTGTCATTTATAGAATGGAAGAGATCCCATTTAATCAACTTGTCACCAAGAGAATCCTGGTCAGGATAAAACATTGTCATTTATAGAATGGAAGAGATCTCATTTAATCAGTTTGTCATCAAGAGACTGGTAGGTCTCTTTAAGGGATGATATAATATCAGAGATTCTTATTTATTTTATTTGTTATCTGGCTCTCATCTAGAATATAAATTGGAGAATAGGAATTTTTATATTTTGTTTTGTTTTATTCCCAGTATTAAAACAGTACTTGATAGGTAGTAGATGCTCAATTAATACTTGTTGAATATATGAATGAATGAATGAATGAATTTTTCCTAGCACAAAGTGTAAGTCTTCAGTAAATATCACTTGAACTGACCTGAACTAAAACCAAATGTATCTGCATAAGTCCCCCCTGTAACATAAATAGGAGAAAGGGCACATGCATTGTAATATGCAGAATTCTCCACGGATTATATGTTCTTTCTTCAATATTGCAAATGCTTAATTTCTTCATGTCATTTAGATGCACATGTTAATATACAATATATTTTTAATAAATATTAGTGAATGTTCTGGTTACCTAGTACCACTCTTGACAGGAATATACCACAAATGGGATGGGTCGAACAAACAGGAGTTTATTCTCTTACACTTCGGGAGGCTAGAAGTCTGAGGTCTAAGTGGCAAGCTCTGGGGGCTGTGTGAAAGTCCCTTCACCTTGGGCTTCAGCTCTGCCTCTTGCTCCTGGCCCACTGAAGCTAGAGGCATCTCTTCACTCAGGCAACTACTGGCTGCTGAGACTAACAAGCCCAAGGTCAACAAATAAAATGGTACAGTCTCGATGTTACCAAACCACACAGCAGGCCATTAACTCAAGTCCACTGTAAGTCCCAAGGTCGGCAGAGCACGGCAGGCTGCTGAACAACACGGCTACGTGCAGGGTCCAAGCGTGCCACAGGCTAGAGACCATTCCCAAAGCTCCTTCTTATATATGAGAAGGAGACCACATACCCAAAGGCAGCTACTCAGTAGATTCCCCCATGGAGCTGATTTCCAGTCTCATCATGGGGAATACTATATCCAGCTGCCCAGCCACTCAACAAGGTCTAGCCAAGTTGACACACAAACTTAACTACCACAGTGAATAAAAGTAGAAACCCTAAAGATTTTAAAATTTTATTTAAATGAATCCAAGTCAAAATTCAATAATCTAGAACTACATATAATAAAGTAAGGTAAAGATATAGCAAAAGTAAAGTGAATAGGGATTACACAGAGAGTTAATTCCTATAGCATAAAATTTAAATGAAAACTATTCATTTAAAAAATGAAATTTCAGCTCATTATTGCAATTTTATATTATCATATTAGAGAGTACAAAACTCTTTTTAAAACATGTAAAATCTCAAATCTCTCAATCTTAAAATCTATCAGTAGATACCAAAAATCTTCAAGGCACATAAGGTTTTCTAGAAAAGAAGCCTTGTTTAAAAACTGAGATGACTAAAACTACAAAAGCACCTATCAGACACTGTCATGTTTTGTTGAAATGTCTACCAACATGAGATTAGCCTTGAGCTGAGGTGGCCTCCGAATCAACACCGGCTTCTTCCTGTGAAACATCCCCAGCAGAGGATTCTGACTCAACTGTGGAATTTCCTTTTTCTAGTTCAGTATGTTCATCCGATCTTTCCTTCTCTGTGATATCTTTATCATCACTACCGGCAACAGCCTCAAATGGAGGAGGCTTTGTAATTCCTGGGGCTGTTTCGGCATTGACTTTTGTGGTTTCACCCCTGGGTATATCTGTATCCTCTGGCCCTGTTTCAGCACCAACTGCTGCCGTCCCCACCAGAGCAGCATCCATACCTTCCAGACAGGCTGACTCCTCTTTTATGACTGCATTGGTAGCATCTGGAATTTCTTCAGCACCTTCTACCTCTGCTTCCACTACAGATACTACAGGGGCTTCTGAACTTGCTTTGTCTGCTTCCACTACAGATACTTCAGGGGCTTCTGAACTTGGTTTCTCTGTTTCCACAGGGTTCTCTTCTTCACCTATTGAATTTTATCCAGCAAGCAATGTATTAATTTAAAGAGTATGGAGTACAATGGAATACTGTACTGTCGTTTTAAAAAATGAGACAGTCTGTATGTACTGATACATAATAGTCTTCAGGGTAGAATGTTAAGTGAAAACAAGGAAAACAACAATGCAAAGTGAATGGTACTATTTGTATTAGAGCAAAAAGGGGAAGAATTATATACTTACTACCACCACTACTCACTGCCATCAACTCGATTCGACTCATAGTGATCCCTCCTTGGGTTTCTGAGACGGTATCTCTACGGAAGTAGATGGCCCAATTCCTTCTGAGGAGTGGCTGGTAGGTTTGAACCACCAGCCTTCTGGTTAGCAGTCAAATGCCTTAGGCACCATGCCACCAGAGCTCCCAATTATATACCTAGATATTTGTATTTTTAGAATCTCTCCAGGAAAATTCAAAGACACCACATCACTAGTTGCCTCTGGGGAGGGGAAGTGGGGAATCTGCTTTTTTGTAAACCCTTTTGAACATTTTTTTAAGAAAATCAATTACATTTATTACTTATTCAAATACAAACCCACTGCCATGAGTCGATTCTGACTCATAGCGACCCCCATTGAGTTTCTGAGGCAGTAAATCTTTGCAGAAGTAGATTGCCTGGTTTTCCTTCTGCAGAGTGGCTGGTGGGTTTGAACCTCCGACCTTCTGGTATACAGTCAAAATGCCTTAGGCACTGTGCCACCAGAGCTCCTTATTCAAATACAAAGAACATGAAAATAAACAGCTAACCTGTCATGTGAGATAACATGGATGAATAGCCAACTTACTAGCTATATGACTGAAGAATCACATGTCCTCTCTCAACCTATGTTTTGTCATCTATAAAAATAGGGATGTTGAGAACATCTATTTTACAGGCCATTGTGAGGATTAATTAAAATAATGCATATGAAAGGGAGCTTAAAACCAATAAAGTACTATACAAATGCAGTATTTTATTATAATTGGCCTATTCAATAATATTTCTTGAAGATACTCTGTTGTTTGTTGTTATGACTAAAGGGTTGAAACTGTTTCATAGGTACCTAATATCTCTGCTCCTGAATAGTTGTTGTTGTTATGTGCCGTCCAGTCAAACCCGACTCATAGCAACCCCTCCTTGGGTTTTCGAGGCAGTATCACTACGGAAGTAGGATTGCCCAACCTTCCTTCCGAGGAGTGGCTGGTGGGTTTGAACCACCGGCGTCTGGTTAGCAGGCAAGTGTCTTAGCCACTATGCTACCAGAGATCACAGTAATTAATAATAATGACATTATATTGAGATGGGAAAAAGCAAGCAGTTTAAGGTAAGTATGGCTGATTCTACTGTTAAGTGTATGTTGGAAACTGCCACATGGGTGATCTTAGCCACAACTGAAACAAAAAATCAGGTTTGTGATTTTTAAAAATGAAGGAAATGAAAGGACATCTCTATCATCTCAAGCTGCTGAGAGAGAGAGAGAGAGAGAGAGAGAGAGAGAGATACTATTATTATGCTTGCACAAGTGGAAGCCTGAGTAGGGGAAAAGTAATATTATCATACAAAGAAGTCAAAGCCACTAGTCAGCAGTATAAATGTAAAACTTTTTCATTCATCAAGCAGCTTCATCCTCACCCTTCCCTCCCCGCCCCCTCCCAAAAAAAAGAAAGAATTCATCCAAAACACACAGCAATATTCATTACATTTTGGTTGCGCTTTTCCTTTCTGAATGAACTACCTACAACTATTCTGGGTTAAGTTAGTCAAAAAGCCAAAAGCAAATAGTTTTCATTGCTAGACTAAGATGACTGGAATTCTTTCCTGAAGAAAAAACAATAACAAAGAAATTCACTTTACCTTGAAGTGGTTGTAATTCTTCTTTGTTTTTTTCTTTCAAATTTGTCATATGTTCTGAATGTTTGGCTTGCTCTGATCTGACTGTCTTGTAAGTCTGAAAGTAAATATACCCTTAGTTTATTTCTTGAGCTGTTTGAGTCATCCTGGCAAATTTAAAGGTATATTAACTTTCAACTATTCAACTTTCCACATAATTGTCATTAGAAGTCTAAACAATAATCACAACATACATAGCAAAGCAGAGAAACCATACCCATAATCTAGTTTTTTTACTTCCCCTTTGAAATCTTTGCCACTAAGTAGAATGCTTAGAAGAGGAAAGAAACAAATGCTCTATAAAAGGATCAAAGATAACTGAAAACACACATACTAGAGAAACAGACAAAGATGAAGAAAAAATTACACTAGGACCAAAATATCCTGACAGGCATTTAGAAATATCCTCCAGAATTTATCCCAGAGAAGTGGAAATTTACGTTCACAGACAAACCTATACAAAATTTGCATCATTGATCTATTTGTAATAGCCAGAACTGGAATCAGCCCAGATATCCTACAATAGGTGATACCATGGAATACTGTTTAGCATCAAAAAGGAATTGATCCACACAACAATCTGAGAGATTAATACTGAGTGAAAAAAATCCAACCTAAAAAGGTTACATACCTAATGATTCCATTTATGTAACATGCTTGAAATGAAGAAATCATAGAAATGGAAAATAGATTAATGGTTGCCAGGGCTTGGGAAGCAGGCATAGGAGGGCAGGAGGGAAGTGAGTAGAATTATAAAAAGGTAAAATGAGGGATCCTTCTGGTAATGGAATTGTCTTGTACCTGACCGCGGTGATGAATACATGACTCTACACAGCTGATAAAATTACATAGACTACATACACGCACATATGTACACATGTATACACACACAGATAAGTGCATGTAAAACTGGTGAAATCTATAAAAGGTTAGTGGACTGTGATATTGTATTACAGTTACGTAAAAGTTACCATTGGAAGAAACTAGGTAGAGGGTATTCAGGTTCTGTTTGTATTATTTCAACAATATGTAAATCTCAATTATCTCAAAATAAAGTGATTTTAAAAACTTCCAAAATGACATATTTAGCCTAATGATGATTTCTTCAGTTGGCTAGGGGCAGTCACTGTTGTTGTGTGCCAGGAAGTAATTTCTGCAAAACAGCTATATGACCTGACTATAGATTATTTAGGAATAAACCTATCTTAATCATGCACAATGTGCAAGCTTCCTTTCATTTCATATTCAAAAGTTTTCTTTGGCCTGTATTCATATTGTTGTTGTTAGGTACTGTTGAGTTGGTTTCACTTATAGCAACACTGTACAACATAACAAAACGCTGCCCAGTCCTTTGTCAATCTCACAATCGTTGTTATGTTTGATCCCACATTCATATTCAGATTAGATGACAATATTAAAAAAAAAAATTAAAGTCTCACTATTCAGATAATATTGTGTGTATTATCTCAGCTTTGTTAAAAACTTTAGTAGTAGCTTATCTCTTAATGACAGGATACACTAGATTTTAAAAATTTATATATTTATATGCAGTATTTTTCAAATTTCTTATAATCAGAAACAAAGTTCCTTATTGAAAATTATATGCAAATTATAAACCATTTTATAGTATGGTAAAATTAGACAATGAAAATGGAAAATAGGTAACCTTGAAATGGGAATGATACAAAAGCAGGCCTTTAACAAACTCCCCAAAGTCTGGTGAATTCAGATTTGAATCCTCTGGCTTTGAAATGTGCAGAGCAAATAGCATCAGCAGAAATGACAATGAACATTTTTGTATAAAAGCAGGGAGTATTTTCCTAGTAGAGTGGGAGCTCCTGACAGCTACAGGATCAATATGATGAGTCAGCGTCCTCAGTTCTTGATGCACTAAAGCTGAACCAGTGCAGAAGTTCACGACCCTGAACTGACTAACCCAGCAGCAACATTTCAAGGGATATTAGGTCTTATTGCTCAAGGGGTGAAAACACAAGGTGAGGAAAAAGACTGACACTAAGAGGAATAGAAAAGATGACAATATTAGAATAACTCACACTCTGGTCTGGCCTACAGAAAGCACAGAGTAGGACTATAAGGAAAGAGAGGGTTTCAAATTGAGACTCTGGAAGTCATTTCCTAATTATATTACTCATTTATTAAATGTTAGCATTTAAAATATGCCACAGCTTTTATAAACCAATTTAGGCATCTCTTTTTTTTAATACACCCGTTGTTGTTGTTGTTATGTGCCGTCGAGTCCTATCTGACTCATAGCGACCCCTCCTTGGGTTTCCGAGGTGGTATCACTACGGAAGTAGATTGCCCAACATTCCTTCCGAGGAGTGGCTGGTGGGTTTGAACCACCAGCCTTCTGGTTAGCAGTCAAGTGCCTTAGGCACTAAAAAATCAATGTAACCTGGGCCTCCCTATTTCTAAGGGGCCCTAATAGTATAAGATTTAACTTGAAAATGAAAAACTAGTCTTGGCTATGAAGAATCACCAGGGTCAAATGAATAAAATAGAGCATAGAATTTATTTTAGTACAGGGCATGGAAGGGAGGAGGAAGACCAATATACAGGTTTTCAAGTTCCTACATTCTGTATTTTCTCCTGAAAATAGCCTAAAACTCTTGGGAATGAAGGCTTCTAATGTTTGAAATTAAAACTACATAATCTTAGAAATGGAAGGGGATTTAGAGACCACCACCTCGACCAATTTCCACCCCACTGTGCTGAGAGAACAAGACCAGAAAGGATTTGTAACTTTCCAGTTTAAGATTCCCTTTACAAAGAATTTCCAGACAGAAAGGTTCATGTCTGGTGCTGGTAAACATAATCAGGGTGTAAAACGATGTCCAGAGAAAATATCAGTCTCCCAGTTGACCAGATCATTGCATGACCTAGTCCCAATCTCTGTTTTCCAGTGCCCTGTACCCAACTAGAGTGGCCCTGGGTAGTCCATTCAACATTAAGCAGTAGAAAGATAGTAGGAGTAAAGAATTCTGGGTATGGGTGAAATCTGATAGATTAGTAGAGGACAATATACAGGACATGTTTGTAGTCTTCTATCTTCTTGAGGTTCTCAAAATTTCTGAAAGTTAGAATATGTATTTTGATCTGACCATTCTACATAGCTCCATGAAAATGGCTCCTAGTGATGACTTATTAATTGCCATTGAGTCAGCTCTGAATTGTGGTGACCTTATGTATAACAAAAGGAGTTCTGGTGGTACAGTGGTTAATGCATTCAGTTGCTAACCAAAACGTCCGCAGTTCGGATCCACCAGTCCCCATGGGAGAAAAATGAGGCAGTCTGCTTCCATAAAGATTACAGCCTTGGGAACCCTATTTCTCCTAAAGGGTTGCTATGGCTCGGAATCAACTTTATGGCAGTGGGCTCATTTTTTTGGGTGGTGGTGGTGGTGGTGGTGGTGGTGGTGGTGGTGGTGGTGGTGGTGTATGTATGAAAAATGAAACATTGCCTGGTCCAATACCATCTTCATGATCTTTGGTATATTTGAGCCTATTTCAAACCCACCAGCCACTCCTCGGAAGGAAGGTTGGGCAATCTACTTCCGTAGTGATACCACCTCAGAAACCCAAGGAGCGGTCACTATGAGTCGGGTCCAACTCCATGGCACATAACAACAACAACAACATTGTGGTTATTGTGTCACTTCATCTTCTTGAGGGCTTCCCTAATTTTGGATGGCCCTCTACTTTACCTCCTCTTTATGTGTATTTCTGTAGGGTTAGATCAAAGTGTAAAAAAAACATTGCCATGGAATGGATTTCAACTCATAGCGACCCTATAGCACAGAGTAGAACTGCTTCACAGGGTTTTGAAGATGGTAATCTTTACAGGAACAGATCACTGCATTTTTCTCCCATGGAGCCGCTGGTGGGTTCAAACCACCAACATTTTGGTTAGCTGCAGAATGCCTTAACTACCACACTACCTCGGAAACCCAAGGAGGGGTCGCTATGAGTCGGGGCCGACTCCACGGCAAATAACAACAAACAACAACAAACAATACCACCACACTACCAAAGCATGTTGCTGTTGTTGTTATGTGCCATCCAGTCGGACCCGACTCATAGCGACCCCTCCTTGGGTTTCTGAGGCAGTATCCCTACGGAAGTAGATTGCCCCATCTTCCTTCCGAGGAGTGGCTGGTGGGTTTGAACCGCCAGCCTTCTGGGTAGCAGTCAAATGCCTTAGGCACTACGCTACCAGAGCTCCCAAAGCATAGTGACTGCATATTCTTACAGTTTTCAAATAACTTATACTTGTTCTATTTTTATTCATAATGATTACATTTTGATTTACAGATTTATATAAAAATAGTGAACGATTCAATAGGCTTATCTTATTTAACACACAAATTTTCCATTATTTCACCTCCAAAATCATACTACTAAAAGTTTAAATCATACTATTAAAAACTGTCTTACAAATTTAACAGTGGGAGCTCTGGTAGCATAGTGGCTAAAGCACTTGACTGCTAACCAGAAGGCTGGCGGTTCAAACCCACCAGCCACTCCTCGGAAGGAAGGTTGGGCAATCCTACTTCCGTAGTGATACTGCCTCGGAAACCCAAGGAGGGGTCACTAGGAGTCGGGGCCGACTCGACGGCACACAACAACAACAACAACAACCTTGGGGGAGTGGCAGAGGGGCAGGGGAGAAAAACATACTTTTCATCTTATGTATGTCTGTAATTGTTGAATTTTTAAAAAATATATGAATAAATATTAGTTTTTTAAACAATAGTTAACCTTTCAACAATATTTGCTGCTAAATGTTAATAAAAGTGTTGTTGCTATGTGCTGTCAAGTCAGACCTGACTCATAGCGACCCCTCCTTGGGTTTCCGAGGTGGTATCACTGCGGAAGTAGATTGCCCAATCTTCCTTCCGAGGAGTGGCTGGTGGGTTTGAACCGCCAGCCTTCTGGCTAGCAGTCAAGTGCCTTAGGCACTACGCTACCAGGGCTCCTAATAATAAAAGTACCTAAAAGAATTGTAATTATTATTATGAGCCAGGAGTCTGGCATATGATAAGCATTCAATAAATGTCAGCTATTATTAGTAATCGGAAGGAGGGTTGGGCATCTATTTCCCTAGAGATACCGCCTTGGAAACCCAAGGAAGGGCGTTAGGAATCCGAGAACACTACACGGCACATAACAACAACATAACAACAACAACAACATTATTATTATAGGAGCTCTGGCGGCCTAGTGCTTAAGGCATTTGACTGCTAATCAGAAGGCTGGTAGTTCAAATCTACCAGCCACTCCTCCGAAACAAGACTGGGCAATCAAACTACTTCCGTAGAGATGCCGCCTTGGAAACTCAAGGCGAGGTCACTGTGAGTCAGGACCGACTTGACAGCAGTGAGTTTGGTTTTTTGGGTTTTATTATTAGTAATATTTATAATAGGACCTTTTTTAATGAAAGTTATTCATACTTACTAATATGAAGAAATGTTGATTTCACACTTTAAAAATTCTTCATAATAATTTAGTTAATAAGTTCTTATGAAAACTATATTCCTAATAATTATAATGTATTTTTCAAAAGTATGCTTAATGGCATTTAAACCATTGGCTATATTTAATATCTAATGAATTTCCTGCCCTGACCTTGTCATTGCTTTGAGTTTTACCATAGGCTATAAAATATCTGAATTGTTCAACATTACAGTTATTTAAACACTTACATAATATCCACCAGCACTGACTGTGACACCTACAACCAGATAATACATCATATTTGATCCAGATGATCCAAGGAACTTAGATGACATCCGGCGAAGAGCTGCTAGGAAAACAAGTTTAAACACAGTTAGCTCTACCACTGAAGTAAAATTATTTAAAATAATTACATCTTAAAAAATATTCCCCTAGTGAACCCAGAATCTATTAACATCAAGTGACTAACTTAAGGAAGCATGGTATAACAAGGCAAGTGATAATTCTACTTGACATTCTCTCAATCTAATTTGATAAGTGATTATGAAACCTGTCATCTTGATGCTTTTCTTGGAAAAGGTGCAGGTGTGGGTAAAAGGAAATGTCAAAAATATAAAACAATTTTAACTGTCAAATGAAACTCATATTGTTGTTGTTATGCGCTGTCGAGTCGGCCCCGACTCCTAGCAACCCCTCCTTGGGTTTCCGAGGCAGTATCACTACGGATAGTAGGATTGCCAAACCTTCCTTCCGAGGAGTGGCTGGTGGGTTTGAACCGCCAGCCTTCTGGTTAGCAGTCAAGTGCTTTAGCCACTATGCTACCAGAGCTCCATATTAGCAAATGAAATCTCTTTACTGTATGTACTTCACTAGTGATACTGCCTCGGAAAGCCAAGGAGGGGTCGCTATGAGTCGGTCCAACTCCACAGCACATAACAACAACATAGGATTCGATGGGAACTTTTTTTTAATTAAAATTTCATAAGATTTATATTTGTTATAGTAAAGAAAGAAAAGGAGCTCTGGTGGCATAGTGCCTAAGGCATTTGACTGGTGGTTCAAACCCACCAGCCACTCCTCAGAAACAAGATGGAGCAATCTACTTCTATAGTGATATTGCCTTGGCAACCCAAGTGAGGGTTCACTATGAGTTGAAATGGACTCCAGGGCAGTGAGCTTTTTATAGTAAAGAAAACATTTGAAATCCAACACATTTCTACAAACCTATAATACAAATGTAGAGACAGGAAGAAATCTAAATTTTTCTAATACAAAGCAAAAATGTAACTTTATTTAAGGCAAATGGAACAAGATCATAGCTGAAGTAGAAGTACAATTCTAAACAAACTAATGAAGGTCCTTGGCTGGCACAGACAGTTTGCACTTGGCTAGTAATCCCAAAATTTCTGGTTCAAACCCACCCACAGCACCGCTGTTCACAACCTGGTGAACAGCTTCTGTAAAGATATAGCCAACCCAGTTCTGGAACCTAGGAAGTCTACCCAAATGAATACATAAACAAACGAATGCCTAAACAACTAATAGAAATAGATAAAAGTACTACATTATTATATTTAAATATATTTATTCTGCAGAGCTAGAATTTGCACATATCCAATGCCTCAGAATTAAACATTTTTACAATAGACTCTTAAAGCTGGAAGAAGCTTAAAGTACATAGTTTAAATTCTTTAAGGACAAAGAGAGCATTTATTTATTCATTTAACAGAAATAGTTGAACATCTACTATGTGTTCAACCTAACAATGTCAACATTGTTAGAAGCATTGAGGATACAATTATGAACAAGATAGACAAAGTCCTTAACTTTAAATAGCTCACAATCTAGAAGGAAGGGACAGATATACAGACAAGTAACTGTAGATTAAAAAATTACTCTATAGTATGATAAATGCTGTACGCAACAGCTGTAAGTAGAAAGTGCAAAAATAGCAGGAAAGCACAGTGAAAAAAAAATCTGGTAGTTGGATTAGCTGTTCACAATGGAAGAGACAACCTTCCTTCCGATTACTAATAATAGCTGGATCATTTGGCTTCAAAATCTCCGAGTTTTGAAGGAAACTAGTAGTTGGTCAGATAAATAAAAGGGAAATGACACCTGAGGCAGATGGCACAATGTGTGCAAAATCATGAGAGTACTGTTACCAGGAAAATACAAAGTAATTTAATGTGGCCACACAGAGAGCTTATGGCTGTGGGGACTAATGAGAAACTATGATTTGGGGAGGGAAAATCTTAAGATGTTTACACTAGTTACAAACCTTGTTAGTAGCGAAATTGGAATGATTTCATGGTTATGCTCTTACTTTGGATATAAATGGCTGTGTATTGGAAAAAAATTTTTTTTTTTCTACAGAAGTGCCTAAAGAAGCTATAATAAGAGGTTGTAGCTTTGACTTGGGACAGAACTTTTGTATTTTTACAAATGTAAAAATATATATATATATTTTGGGTCAAATAGGGAATATATAGTATTTGTATTTCTCAACCAGACAGAAACAACAATACAAGTTTTTTAAATAGGAGGAAATAAAGAAAATGATCAGAGATTCAAGTAGACTTAAAATACAAACACAATTATGACAGTTATCTAAAAATAGCAATGACATGGAAAATAAATATCCAATAAGGATTAATGAATGATTTGTTAGACAAATTTTATTACAAGCATTCAATGTGAAACAAACATTATAAACCTAGCAGAAGAATATTTACTTAGATAAGAAAATATTTACAATATATCAAGTGAAAAATCATAATAAAATAATTTGTAAAGGACTATCTCTGATTTGTGGAAGTAATGCAAATAAGAAAACGAAAAATGAGTAAGAGGAAAAAAAAAGTCTGGAATAATATCATATACCAAAGTACAGATAGTGTTCTCTGAATGGCAGGATTACAGGTGACTTATATTTTCTCTCTCTTTTCTGTGTTTTTTCCAATAATCTATTAGCGACCTAAATATTTATTAAAGAATTACGTTTTTAAAAGCAGCAAAGGGAGAACAAAATTTGATGAGACACAGTTACATAAAACTAAAACAATTTTTATTTTTTCGTCAAAGTAAAAAGTACTAATAAAAGGCTAACGTCCATGACTGAAAACAAATTTAAGTTTCCAGTCAATAATAGTTCTAAAATATATAAACAAATCAATGCCACAAAAAGAGCAATTAGATGAAAATTAGAGAACGAGAACCAGTACTGCTAACTGCGTCTTTAGAACTTTTGATTACTTTCATTTTGCCACAAGTTAGGGAGGAAATTATTTGAAACACGTGCAGGTACAAAAAAAGATGCATATATGTCTGTTCCTGGTTACGGTGGCGGCTGCACACAGCCTCATAACACCAACGGCGGTGGTCGGGGACTGGACTCATCCTTCTCACCTCCCCCAACACAGCATCCTCATCTTTAGAAGCTTAAAATAAATAAATAGCTTCTCACTGTTTAATCGGAGAAAAAAAAACTATCTTACTCGGTGTAAAAGATCTACGAAAATGAAGACGCCTTATTTTGGTTACTTTAGGGGTAACTTCTTTCCACTAGCATTTGACGAGAAAAATAAAGCTAGCTGGGTCGATCTTCTTCCCTTCCTACCACCGCCGAAGGGCTAATCAAAGTGGGGGTGAAAAAAAAAAAAAGTCCATGGAAATTTCCTCAGGAGTCACTTTCTCTCCAGCTTTAATTTACGCAGCTACCTCGGAATGAAGCTACCTCAGGAGCAAACAAGCATAGTGAGGGACGACTAAGAATATTCGGTGAGTTTGCTTAAGCCCCACTCCACCCCATTCAGCTTGGGTTTGGGACTGAAGAGAGCAGAATGAAAGGCAAGGAAGGAGTAGGAAGGAGCAAGGAGCTCTGGTGGCGTAGTGCCTAAGGCACTTGACTGCTAACCAGAAGGCTGGCGGTTCAAACCCACCAGCCACTCCTCAGAAGGACGATGGAGTAATCTACTTCCATAATGATACTACCTCGGGAACCCAAAGAGGACTCACTTTGAATCGGTCCGACTGGAGAGCACATAACAACAACAACAGGAAAGAGCAGACTGGGGTAGAGCTAACCGCAATGGATCGCAACCCAGGACCCCGGGCCGCGAGCTGCTGGAAGGAAAAATGATCTCTCGCTCACATTTAGAAGCCACTGTTCTTTCATACTATCAATTTTTATTTAGGCAACTTCCACCTTGCACTACAACTTCTCCTTCAGGAAATTTCTGGATACGCTCTTCTTCCTAAGCTTCTCCAAATCTAAATAAAAGTGATACAAGGACGACAGAGCCAAACAGCTAGATAGTTCCATGTCTACCTTCAGCCCCAAAAGAGACTGACCTGAAGGTCGCTTCCTCACCAGGCTGTTGCCTAGAGCCCACACACTCACTCACTTCAAGCTGCCGAGCCCTGGACAAATCTTGGATTTATTTACTCAACGAACATCTATCTACCCAAGGTCTGCCGGGCCCGTCACTCTTTCATCACGCTCTGCCAGGCTCCCTGATCAGCGTTCATATTCCCACCCATTCCTCTGATTCCTCACTTAGTTGGAGCGCAACCTGGTCCTTACACTAATAAAAGCGGTAAACTGCCCGTTTGTTAGGGACTTTTCTGAACACTTTTAACTATTATTCCTGTCATAAGATGAGGAAACTGAGGTTAAAGACCTTGTCCGCGATCAGTATTCGAACGCAGGAAGTCTAGTGTGAATTCAGAAGTTCCCAACTTCCAAAGGCTCCGAGATCTTCAGAGAGATTCTTCCGCTACACCTGTCCACCTCACGCTCCCCTCCCCCGGCCCCCCAATTCCTGTTCCCACTCTCAATCCCTGGTTTCTACTGCTTGGGATCTGGTTTGGCTGACTTGGGGGGGGGGGCGCTCCTCAAGCCACGGTACAACTGCGCCCGCGGGATGCGCCCCTGAGGCGCCAGTCCTCCTCACACGCCTGTACAGCTGCAGAGTCGCCCTGTTTCGCGCCCGGCACTCACCGTCCTTCCGGAACGGCGCCGGGCTGGTGGGCGTCCGGAGAGGTAGCGCCAGGGTCTTGGAGACTGCTCTGCGAAGGTACATCGCGCCCGCGGCTCTCCCTGCTGCAGTCTCCAGTGCCGGGCGCCAGCTACCCAGGCGCGGCTAGTCCGAGTGCGCCCCGCCCCGGGGAGGGGCGCCGACCCTCGCCCAGCGCCGCCCCGGCCGCCAGGGGAGATAGGTAGGGGTTTCTCACCAGGCACTCTTGCTGTCCCAGGAAACTTCTAGAGTAATGTCATGAAAGGGATTGGGAACTGAGAAGCTGCTGTCACCTGCCAGACCCATTCTTTTTTTGGGTGTTATCTCCTCAGAGGAGCCTGGAAATGTTTCGGGATTTGCAACGGGATTAAGATTTGAACGTGATTTATCATGCTGGATGTAATCTAAAGCCACTTTATCTCACGCATAACGTTTGCCTTCCTAGGGGAGTAAAGGGTAGCGAGTAATTTCCTAGAGATACTGTGTTGTGGAGTGGTGGCTCAGACCTCCATTAGTGATGCTCCATTAGTGGGTGATGCTCCATTAGTGGGTGGTGCTCAGAATCGCAAACAATGACAGAATTCATAGTCAATTCACTGCTAAAATGGCTTTAAATACAAATCCCAACAACTCTCTCTATATTACTTATGGGACATAAATTAGTATTTCCACATTAACTGAACATGCTAAAATTTTAATTTCTTCCCTCAGATTCCACTTACTTGCCTCCTTTGTCATGGTTTGAATATGGAAACCAGTAATGCTTATAACATTGTCATGTTTATAACATTCTCTAAATGGTTTATCTTTGAAAGGGACCGGTTGGCACTGTCTAGTGCTGCCATAACAGAAACACAAGTTAGTGTCTTTAATAAACAGAAATTTATTTTCTCAAACGGGCAGAGGACATGAACAGACAATTCACCAAAGAAGACATTCAGGCAGCTAACAAACATATGAAGAAATGCTTGGCAATCATTAACCATTGTTGTTGTTGTTGTTGTTATGTGCCGTCGAGTCATACCTGACTCATAGCGACCCCTCCTTGGGTTTCCGAGGCAGTATCACTACGGAAGTAGGATTGCCCAACCTTCCTTCCGAGGAGTGGCTGGTGGGTTTGAACCGCCAGCCGTCTGGTTAGCAGGCAAGTGTCTTAGCCACTATGCTACCAGAGCTCCCATTAACCATTAGAGGGATACATATCAAAACAATGAGATATCATCTCACCCCAGCACTAACCAAAACAAACCAAACACACTGCCATCCAGTGGATTCGTGACCCCTCCTTGGGTTTCCAAGGCTGTATCTCTAGGGAAGTAGATTGTCCAGTCTTCCTTCTGGGGAGTGGCTGGTGGCCTTGAACTCCCAGCCTTCTGGTTAGCAGTCAAATGCCTTAGGCACTACACCACCAGAACTCCCAGCAAACTTAAAAGAAAGAAAACAAATGCTGCCAAGTGTGTGGAGAGACTGGAACCCTCATATACTGCTGTTGGGACTGTAAAATGGTGCAACCACTGTGGGAAAGTGACACTCCCTTAAAAACCTGGAAACAGAAATATCGTATGATTCAGCAATCCCACTACTAGGTATATATATTCTAGAACTGTAAGTACCATGACACATCCATGTTAATTGCATCACTATTCAAAATAGCAAAAAAGATGGAAACCACTGAAATGCCCTCAATGGAGGAATGAATCAACACAATATGGTACATACACACAATGGAATCCTACGCAATGTTAAAGAACAACGATGCATCTGTAAAACATCTCTCAACATGGATGAACTCAGAGGCCATTTTGCGAGTGAAATTAGTCAATTACAAAAAAACAAATACTGTATGAGACCACTATTGTAAAAAGTCAAGAAAGAGCTTTCACAAAAAAATATTATTCAGTGGTTACCAGGGGTGGGCGGGCAAGGGAGGGTAAACCACCAACTAGAAGGTAGACATTAACTTGCGTAAAGGGTTTTAAATAAAAAAATTTAAAAAAAAATTATTTTCCCACAGCTTAGGAGGCTGGAAGTCTGAATTCAGGGCACCAGTTCTAGGGAAAGGCATTCTCTCTGTGGTTCCAGAGGAAGGTCTTTGTCTCTTTTCAGCTTCTATTTCTTGGTGATCATGGTGATTTTCATGATGCATGGCATCTATTTCCCCCCCCTCTCTGTTGGCTTGTTTCTCTAACCTGCTCTTTTTATATTTCAAAGGTGATTGGCTTAAAACACACTCTACATTACAAGGCCTCTTAACCTATAAAAACCCATTCCTAAAACCTATTTGGAGTTGAGGGCAGCTAACAAAGCAGCTTTCAATTTGTTCACATTCTGGGGAGAAAAAAAAAAAAATGTATATATTTATATATATACATTTAAATATTTTTTAAAATTAGCACTTGAGAACTTAGTAGATAAATAATGCCACTTCCCCAGATTTTGCTTTGTAAATCTTATTTAAAATACTTTCAGATTGAAGGTTATTTTCTACTTAACTCTACTGGTCCTATAGCATATGTTGCATTCCACATTGATACCTATAGGTTGTCAAATTCATTCTGACAAGCTGTTTCTCCTGAACTTGAGAATTTTACATTAGGTTGTTTGTAGAGCAAACTGTGTAAGGCTTGGACAGTAGTTTCCTAGCCATTAGTCACATTGTTTATATTGCTGCCCTTGAGTGCATCCTTGACATTTTTGTTTTCAGTTGGGAAAACAGAAAATCTATGGGTAGAGATAACTTGGCTTCAGATGACCTCCAGTTAATTGTGGAACAGACCATCAATTGCTTATATGCAAGTTCAACTTGAAGCTGAAGAAAATTAAAACAACTCCACAAGGGCTGAAGTGCGACCTTGATTATATCCCGTCTGAATATAGAGACCATCTCAAGAGAAGATCTGACTCAATGAACACTAACAATTGAAGTCCAGTGGGGTTGTGGGATGACATCTAGGACATCATAAATGAAGAAAGCGAAAGGTCATTAAAAAGACAGAAAAGAAAGATCAAAATGGATGTCTGAAGACTCTGAAACTGTTTTTGGCTGTAGAGTAGCTAAAGCAGATAGAAGGATGATAAAGTAAAAGAACTGAATAGAAGATTTCACAGTGTGGCTCAAGAAGACAAAGTAAAGTATTACAGTGAAATGTGCAAATATCTGGAGTTACAAAACACTCAGCATTTCTCAAGCTGGAAGAACTGAAGAAAAAATTCAAGCCTCGTGTTGCAGTACTGACGGATTCCACAGGCAAATTAATGAATGACACAGGAAGCATCAATAGATGTTAGGAATACACAGTCACTGTACCAAAAAAGAATTGGTTGACATTCAGCCATTCTAGGGGGTAGGCATGATCAAGAAGCAGTGGTACTGAAAGAAGTACAAGTTGCACGAAAGGCACAGGTGAAAAATAAGTCTTCAGGAATTGATAAAATACTAATTGATATATTTCAACACACACATACAACACTGGAAGCAATCACTCGTCTATACCAAGAAATTTGGAAGACAGCTAACTGGCCAACCAACTGGAAAAGATCCTTATCTGTGCCCATTCCAAGGAAAGGTGATGCAAAAGAATGCAGAAATTATCAAAAGTATCACTAATAGCACACGTAAGTAAAATTTTGCTGAAAATAATTAAAAAAACAGTTGCAATAGCACATTGTAGGTAACTGCCAAAAATTCAAGCCATATTCAGAAGAGGACGTGGAATGAGTGATCTCACTGCTGATGTCAGATGTTTCCTTAGCTGAAAGCAAAGAATACCAGCAAGATGTTTACTTGTGTTTTGTTTACTATGCAAAGGCACTGAACACTGTGGATCATGGTAAATTATAGATAACATTACAAAGAATGGGAATTCCAGAACACTTGTATTCATGTGTAACCTGTACATAGATCAAGAGGTTGTCATTTGAACAAAAGTTTATTTTGTGGTTTTAAATCAGGAAAGGTGTGCATCATGGTTGTATCCTTTCACTGTACATATTTAATCTGTAATCTGAGCAAACAATTCAAGAAACTGGACTATATGAAGAACGTGACATCAGGCTTGAGTTAGACTCATTACCACCTAAGACATGCAGGTAACACAACCTTGCTTCATGAAAGCAAAGAAGACTTGAAACACTAACTGATGAAAATCAAAGACTTCAGTATGGATTATACCTCAACATAAAGAAAACAAAAATCCTCACAACTGGATGACCAATAAGCAACATTATGGTAAATAAACAAAATACTGAAGTCATCAAGGATTTCATTTTACTTGGATCCACAATCAATATTCATGGAAGCAGTAGTCAAGAAATCAAACAATGCATTGCATTGGGTAAAACTGTTGCAAAAGACTTTTTGTTAAAAATGACTTTGAGGACTAAGGTGAGCTTGACTTCAGACGTGGTATTTTCAATTCTCTCATATGTATGTAAAAGCTGGACAATAAACAGAAAGACTGAAGAATTAATGCATTTGAATTATGGTATTGGTGAGGGATATTAAATATACCATGGACTGCCAGAAGAATGAACAAATCTGTCTTGGAAATATAGCCAGAATGTTCCTTAGAAGTGAGGATGGCAAGATTTGTCTCACATACTTTGGACATGTTACTAGGAGGGACCAGTCCCTGAAGGAATCACACTTGGTAGAGTGTCAGTGAAAAAGAGGAAGACCCTCAATGAGATGGACTGACACAGTGTTTTGTTCTGTCGTACATCAGGTTGCTATGCGTTGGATCCAACTCAGCAGCAACTAACAACTTCAGATGACCTACACTTATTTGTGATTGTTGACAAAGATGTATTAGTCTTGAAACATATTGGAAGGGTCCTCTATGGCAATATTAATTTTATGTATTTGATGCTTAAATGCTATATAATTAAAAGTAATTCTCAAAGAATGATCAATTTCCTAGACTCCATAGAAAAGTAGAAACTGATTGCTTTTTCTTAACACCCAGTTCTTACTTTTCAATAATCAATATGGATATAAAATGAAAACAATGTAGAAGAGACAAATTGGCAAGATTAAGAAAAAGTCCTGATAAACACTTTTTTGAGAATCTAAAATATTAGGTAAAATGAAGAGGAATGGGTAATCATCTGGTAAATTCTTAATGTATTCCTGAGGTCACTCAGTACTCTTAACATCTATTCACTTCCTCTACTGTAGAAAAATAAACATGAAATTCACTAACACTTCTTATACTAGAAACCTAGTTCATTCAGACTTTTTCTATGGCAACTATTATTTTAAATGACTACTTCATACACTGTAATGTAGCTGCATTAGACCTCATGTAACTTTGAGAGGGAAGAGAATTAGCCAAAAGCTGATTCCTATGAAGTGGTCAGATGTACCTTCAACTTTTTCACCATTTCTGACACCAGCTGTCCTGCCCATGGCATGCTCTACTTCTCTGCTCAGTTCACTAATTTGTTTGTTGTATTGGCTATACACAACTCACAGACTATACTCACAGGTATGAGGTTTATTAGGGTAGTAACAAGCAACAACTCAGGATCAACATGGAGGTAATAATAAACTCAGGTGACAGGATACAGTTTGTCAATCAGGACAAGCTTCCAGCTTCTTGTTGGCCCTGACTACTGCTAGGTCTTCTCTTGGCCTTTGCACTGCTTGGACAAGTGTCACACCTCTTTAGCTCTGGCAACAAGTTCCTGGAGGGACCCCATTCTGCCCCCAAGCTTTATGCCCGAAGGCACTCAGCTGTGGTTGAGTGGCCAGCAAGCCCACTACAGTTGTCTCATGCTGGTCTCCTGGTTCCTGTTGTTTGTGCTGCTGCTGCTCGTCCTGTTGTGCAGTCTTGTGCACTGTCTTCTATAGTACAACTCGCTCTTCTGGACCTAGCAAGCTCTCAGTGAAGGGATGCCAGGCCCAAAGGACATCCTCTGCTCTAGCTCTTGATGGTAATGAGGTCCCCCCTCAACCTCTGTGCAGCTGGTCCTTATATAAGTTTACTTTTGTTAATTTTAAATCATGGTCCTCCCACCAGATCACAAAATGAGCCATCCCCTCCCTTTGGTAGGCCACAGCCACTTTATTTCCATAGTAATCAACCAATTCCCAAGGTCATTTTATCTTATTGGGTGGTTTTACAACCCTGTTTGCATAGCTGACTGACCAATTCCTGCAAGGTGCACAAAACAGACCAATCACAGGGCAGGCCAGGTACAGTGAAAGAAAATGAAGCAGATACACAATGCAAGAGTCTTGAAGACATTTTAGTTCCAAGCTCATTATTCCTGGGTCCCGGTGCGTCTCTGTTCTTGGGTTGAGTCACTTTGTATCTTTATAACTTCTCTTTTTTAGCTCAACATAGCTTGAGTTAGGTTTCAATTACTGAGTTTAGAATGCATTTCACTATACCTAGACCATCTGTTTTCCCCAATCCATATCGTAAAGCCAATAGTTGCTGTATTTACTTTTCAGTTCAAGAGTAGCTGGACTGAGCAAGAATCATTCCCAAGAGAAATCAGAATTAACTATGGTCAAAAGATGATTTCTTTAGTAATAATGTAAAAGAAGAGTTCTTGTAAAAAAAAGAGTGCAGACAGAATAATGTGTCAATCATAGTCAAGTTTATTAGATCAAAATCAGAAAGACTTTTTTAAAAAATTTAGTGTCTGCAATGCAGTGAGTTTTTTTTACACATGGCCCTTCTGGCTTTGAGATTATAATTTCGCCAAAAAGGATTGGCTGGGCCGCAGCCTGGTAATAGGAACTCATCTTCACTTTTTGTTCTACCAAACTAGCTCCTCTAGAAGAAAACATTATTTGGGCTCTTTTGTATTTTGGGTAATAGATTATTTTTAGCTCCCCAATATAATAAAGAATAAACGTTTCAATTAGATATCAGAAATTGTTAAATGACTTCAGCAGTCATTCTTCAATCCATTTCTCTAAGGTTTCTTACCAATATGTCTTCACTATTGATTCTATTATCAGATAGTAAAAGAAACCAATGTTCTAAAATTCATTCTAAGTATTCAACATTAGGTAGTAGACTGGATTTACATTGAATTTTCTGTTCGATTAAATTTTTCAACTTGCATATCTTGCACATTTAATGTAACTTATCTTCCATACTAAAATACTTCTAATACTATACCTTAGAATTGACATTTTCTGCAAGTTATCACAATATTCATTATCTGAAGAACACAGAAATATTTTTATTTTTTTGCTTAATGATATAGCACAAAAATGCTAGCAATATATATTCACATATAACTTTTCCTCTCTTATTTACAAGCAAAGATTGGTGAATCCAAAGGAACTGCTGTAATTACTGTATGGTGCGTACCTATAATGAAGAAAAAAATAAATACACACTATAGCATTAACTAGCAGAAATATTAAAATTAGATCACTCTAAATAATTCAAATTATAGCTGCAGGGAAAGTCTAGAAATCTAATCCAAAGAGTTTTAACCCTTCATTTTATTTAAGGTTCAGTAAGAAATATTTTATTTTACATCTCTTTCGTGAAAGCATCTGGTTTCGATTTAAAAACACATTTGTTTTTATCTCCTTTCACTGATTAAAATAGTGAAATGGGCAAGATGATAATCAGTGGAAAGGAAAAAGCAAAAGAGCTAGACAGTTAAACCCCTAAGACTTGAGAGTGGTTAAATATGGGGAAAACAAAAGTAAATGTTAGTGATGACTATGTTTATTATCCAGCAGATAGAATCTACCTACTTTTAAAAACATAATCCATGAAGTTGAGATTTGTAAGAGTGATCTTACACTTTACAAAGGGACAGTGACAGGATTTCTTTTCAAGTATTTTCGGAAATATACATAATACATATATAAAGTAAGCTCTCCCTCTGTTTTAAGTTAGAGACCAGGTAGAGTATGCAATCTTGTTTGCATCTAGGTTTACCAAGAACTCTCCATTTTGGTGTTAGTTGTAGTGACAATCATAATGACAGTTATTCTGGGGAAAAAAAAACCTATTGCCCTTATTCATTGAACAAAATTAAGCTTTTAGATGGGCCAGGCACTGAGCAAGTTGATGTATGATAATTAATAAAATATACATGGTTCCTGTCCTCATGGAATTTATAGTCAAGTATGGAACATGTCAAACAGTTATTACAAAGTACACACACAAATAATTATAACATAAGTGCTATGAAGAAAATGTATAGCGTATTATTTAATAACATGATTTTGTTTTCATTGTTAAACACAACTTCCTTTGAGCAAAAAGCCAAAGATTATGTTAAAAGATGCTTAAGAGTCAAGGTATTAAATATTCATAAATCTGTCAAACTGAAATATAAGTGTTAAAAAAGTAGAAAACTAATGAAAAGACAACCAAAATACTTTATCTAAAAACAAGTCAACTTGCATAGTCTATTCATTCTATAAATTGAACACTTACTATATTAGCATTTCAATAGTTTATTCCAACCCATTTCTTCTTTTATATTCTAAAACATCTTCATTATGTTGTCTGATGAGCTAGAAGTAGATAATGGATAACATTAGAAATACAATCTTCCTGGCAACTTAAGAAGAAGTTACTGATGTTATTTCTTATCACTATATGCTATTTTGTGAGAAAAATAAGAGTAGATTAAAACAATTACAACTATTCTAGTCAGAAATAAAAGGCTAAGAAATCCTAAAGTCCAAAAATGATAAATGCTATAGACTTGATCACTACAATTTGATATACTAAGTTTGAGAAAGCAACTCTTTAGGTTTGGATTCAACTTTTGTTAAATCTATTACTTTAATTCAGTGTGTAATAAATATAATGAAATGCCTTACCATAGAGAGGCTAAATCAACAGATGACACAACAGAGCTTGGTTATTAAATAGGATCCAGGGTGGCTGGTAGGTTGTGTTATACTTAGAAAGTTGATACTGTGAGTGAATGACTAGCCCCACTCCCAAACTGTATGTGTATTAACTGGATTTCATGGATGAAACCACTTTCTTAGACAACTACTGTCTGACAGAATATGCATCTGGAGCAATGGTTGACACTGGATGATGGTCACTGCAGTTGAAGATTCAATTTCAATCATTAGTGCCCTCAGCAGTAATCAAGATTCTTTTCAGGAAAAACCTTAACTCAAATTAAGAATGCATAAAATTTCATTATAACAAATACTGAATATATTAATTATTCTTGTCAAGTTGTGATTTCAACATCTTCTCCAAAACCTAAATCCACTGCCATCGAGTTGATTCCGACTTAGCCAGCCCCAATTGGATTTCCAAGGCTGTAAATCTTTATGGAAGTAGACTGCCTCATATTTTGTCCTTAAGCAGCTGGTGGGTTTGTACAACCAACCTTCTGGCTAGCAGCCAAATGCCTTACCAGAGCTCCTTCCCATCTTTTACTCCTTCTTATGTCAGAGATCTTAACTATGTTAACGAGAAAATACAACACAAGAGACCTAAGAGCTGAAATTCCCAAACACATTAGACACAAAATCTTTAAATGCTATTACTCTGAGTCAACTTTAAAAAAAATTATCAACAGGGAGGCAGTGTTTCACACAGGTCTATAATGTGGCCTCTGAAGTCAGCAAGAACTGGGCTCTTAATCTGTAAAATATGTATCTACCACACAGTATTATTGAGAAGATTAAAAAAAAAAGGCTGCTACATACTACAAATGCTACTACATTTCCAACAATGCATTTATTATACACATCGATTAAAACCCAATGTTTTAGAAGTATAATAGGATTTAATTTGTATAGCTTGTTCACTACTGGTTCATCTGTATGGCAGCTCACAAAAGTACCTTCATAAAACCCTCAATCCTCATCAAAAATAAAGGAACGGTAATTAATATTCAGTAAAACTACCATTTCTTATGAAAATATGCTTGTAACAATGAATGGCAGAAACTTCAGCCTCATCATATTTTCTCTAAGCCAGTAAAACTTTAGTATTTCTTTTTAGTCTTTCCTGGGATTTCCCTTATGGGGATACTATGTTATTAGCAGTAACTTAAATATCCAAATTAATGTTGTCACATGCCATGGAGTAGGACCCAACTCATAGCGACCCCTCCTTGGGTTTCTGAGGCGGTATCACTACGGAAGTAGTTTGCCCAACCGTACTTCCGAGAAGTGGCTGGTGGGTTTGAACCGCCAGCCTTCTAGTTAGCAGTCAGGTGCCTTAGGCACTACGCTACCACAGCTCTCGCCCAAATTTAAGAGAGTCTCTAACAACACTGATACTCCTTCCACTTACTCTATTGGGGCTTCGGGACAAAGGGAGTAAAGCACTTACATAGACCCACAGGAAGACTGTGGTGCCCAAGGTCAATCCAACTTTCAGCCAATCAGGTTTGCTACTCGGCGGCTCCCGAACGTAGAACTTTGACCTCACTGAAACTGAAAGAGAACAGAGTATGTAAATCTGTAACTTATGACCTCGTAGGGAAAAAACCCTATCATTTTCGTGTTTTTATCGCATTTAATTCTCCAGGCTCCGACTTGAACAGCGAACAGATTCAGAGAACCCTGGCCCTCTGGGGCGTCTTCACAGCCTCGTTTAGGCAGTCGGGAACCCACGGACGACTCTGAGGGAGTGCGCGGCAAAAGGCACCTCTGGGAAGGTTTTCGTTTCTAACCTTCCCGGCATCTACCGGAATGAAAGTGCGTAAGGGCGTGGGGTAGGAAACCCCAAGTTCCTTCGCTGAGGCCAAGAAGGGTCGGGTAACGCTTGGAGGTGGATCCGCGGCGAGTGATGAAAGCGGAGTACGGGAAGGGCTCCGGGCCTGGGGCTTGCGAAGGTCACGGCAGGTCGAAGCGAAGTCTCAGCCACCCCCTACCCTCGTCGACTGGGCTCCGCCTGGAATAGACAGGCGGGGAGATGGACCTGCCTCTGCAAGGACGGTTACTCACAGCTGCTGGGGAACCGGGCCGGGGGCATCAGGCGGGAGAACGGACGCAGCAACACGGACGGCGCCATCTTGCTGGCCGTGCTCCGCCTTCTCCTCGCTCCCGCCCTCCAGTAGCTGGCGCCCAGCTAAGCGCCCCCTGGCGGGCGGAAACGCAGGACTCGCCAGCTATTCAGCCGCGAAGCGTGGAGGTGTTACTGGGGCAGTTAAAGCCAGGTAACCCAGCTCCTCTGGTGGTAGTTTTCTGCCA